GGCAGTTTTTCCTCCGTTCAAGTGAGGAATGGGAAGCCGCGCTTTGCAGCCTTGTGTAAAGCAGCCAGAGGTGGACGAGGTGAACAGGAGAAGCTGAGCGGATGTCTCCAGCTCCAGGGCCACCTTTGCAATTTTGGAAAAAGGCCTGCTACAAACAGAGGGGTTAAAGGTGCTCTTCCACAGTGAAAAACAAACCGCAAACCTACAAGAGTTTTATAATGAAATTGGGAAGCAACCCCAAAACTGAATTTACTTCAGGCTCCCACTGTAACAACCGATTTCAAGCAAATGGAAAGGGTTTCTTTTTTTTCCCTCCAAAAGTGAACTGAAATAGTACTGCAGCTGTGTACTACTTGTGTTTGCTTACTATAGCAAAGAACTTTTGCTTACTCTAATAAGCAGCTTCTGCCAGAGTTATTCTCGCACGTTCTTCCCGTCACTGCCGTCGCACGCTGAATTCTGCCTTCCTGCTCACCGCGCAAGGGTGCTCTTTCGGAGTTTGTTATTGCTACTCCTGTCACTGCCTTAATGTGCCCACTGCGTTTACGGCCAGCATCTCTCCACGGCGGCAGAGAGACTCCCACAGCAGTCGGTGGACTATCACCCCAGGGGAGGGGCGTTTTGATACCTGTCTGATGTGCACCCGCTACTGCAAACGTAGAGAGAAATGCTGTGAACACATTCGTTCAGTTCTTTCCTGCGTTCTTATTTTGACCAACTTAAATTCAATTAGCTTGACAGTGATAAGCATTTAATTAACATGATTAGTGACTGACAGTGGCCCATCTGTAGCCTGTGCTTCTAACGCGTCTTGAAAAATACAACTTTCATTTGTAATCACCTTTATCTTCTGCACACGCGTTTGTCTTCAACTTCTTCTTCCTTTGACTTTTTTTTTATTAAAATTTGAAATTTTCATTAGTTAATAGCAACTTCTTACAGTCAGTAACTAAGTTACAGCACTTTGTGTGAAGACGCCAACACTGATCTGAAAGATAAGGTGGAATTTCTTTCTCTATGGCTTCTGCTTTTTTCCCCAGCTACAGTAGCAGATCAGCCTAGACAGAAATTCAGTTATTGCAAAACGTAATTTCAAGACAGCAGCATAAAAATAATTCCTATTCATGCCTCTCCCCATAGACCTGCGTCAGCGTTAACCTCCCTTAACGCAAACAGCTCCTCCCTGCTGATGACTGATGCACAGTAGTTTCATCATTTCCTCTAGATGTTCTTTCTAGAATTGAATGCAGTTGAACACACTTTATCCAGTGTGATATACGTTCAGCTAAGATACAATTTTTATCTATACATCAGCATACGTGTATATGATTCCATTAAGTTTTGCCTACTTCTTCCCCACACATGTATTGCGCACCTTGCTGTCAGTGCTTCTTACGCAGCTTCTCAAATGTCTTTTGTCGTGGAATGCAAGTTATCTTTCAGAAGGTGAGTGGTTCTTAATTTCCACTCATGAGTACATTATGAATACATCATTATACAAGCTATATGCTGGAATAGCTTCTGGCTTAGGTGTACAAGAAACATCCTGCACGGTGAAATTAAATTACAGGAGATGTGTCTGCCCACAGCCTCCCAGAGGTTTTTCTGTATGTACCAAGTCCAAACATAAATTATTAACTTTCTAGCACAAGACTGACATTTCTTTTCCCCAGGCTTTTGAACTTAGACAGGGCAAGTACATTAAAAGTTACATTAAAACTTAAGGACAGCCAGATAGTTCATTTGTATTTTTTTCAGCAATATTTACAACACTCTTAAAAAAAAAAAAAAATACCACTCCTCCAACTTGTGGAAAATACTCAACACGCCCATTTCCATTCTCTCTTACAGAATACAACCTGTCACTGATCTGCAGCATTTGCTTCCTCGCTCGTCCAAAGCATTAACAAAGAAGTTAGCAGAGCACCCAGTCATGTAATTATTCTATTAAAGAGAGACTTTAGAAAACCAAAGTATTTTGCAGTAGTATTATTACTATAACAGGATTAACACAACAAAGAAAACAAATATAAAATGAGTCTGGGAAAAATCATAGGGATTATATCACTGCATTAAAGTAATATGATAAACTTTTTTTTTCTTTTTTTTTTAAACACTCGTATGAATTATGTACAGGTCCATCTGATTCAGTTACTTACTTTATCACATACATGTGACCTGAGTGACTCCATCTTCCTGGTCAAATTGTCCATCATCTAGTTCCCTTAACACTCCATCACTGCTGCTGAATCCCGGAAAGCCCCCATACTGGGACGATCCCTCCTTGAGCCAACATTGTTTCGAAGGAGAAAGATGAAACTCATCAGGTGGTGGACCAAGTTCCACAGGGTGAGAAGTAGCTGTGTCTAATCCAACACTTCTGCTAGAGATTTTGCCTTTTTCCTCCCCGATAACGTGCCTTAAGGATTTCTTCTGAAATACAAGAGAATGTTTAACTGTTAGCTTACTTAGACAAAAAAAGTCAAAGGTGAGCTGCGTTTTAACATAAAGCAGCACTTCACTCTCTAGTTTAAGCTATGAACTCCTCTGGAGAAAAAAAAAAACCCAACAGCTACACCTTTGTTCTCTATAAATAAATTTAGAGAGCGACAAGAAAGATACGAGACGTAGTCAAAATTCCAGAAAGCACAAATAAATGCTAAGAAAATGTCATTACTTCAGCAACACTTGATACTTGTATATTAACTTGGCAGATCCAGAATGATTTACAAGTATTAAACTATGCTAAATCAGCTGTTTGAAGAAAGCCTTATTTCTGTGGAGTAAACATGTCTAACACACCCCGATTCCAACCCTCTCTGCCATACGGCGGCACAGCTCCTGCGGTTGGCTTCCTCTCCGCAGCAGAGGCCCCTCGTGCCCCCGGGGGTGCGCGCGTGGGCGATGCAGCCCCCCCACCTCCAGCTACGACTGTACGCGTACGCTCCCTCTCCTCCGAGGCGCTATCACATGTGCGTGCCACAAGACATGACGCGCCTCGCTCTTCTGCAACCTGCTGCGAAAGTCTAAACGATCAGCGGATGCGAATCACCTCCCCAAACACAGTCCTGCCTAGGAGCTTCAGCAGGCGTGCGCG